GAGAGAGAGAGACAGAGAGAGACAGAGAGAAAGAGAAAGCTGTTGAACAGCAATGGGGAATCCAAGAGGTAAGAATTAGGCGCAGCTGGCCCGCAGCAAAAGCAAGAGGGGAGAAATTGCCCGTAGGCTACAATAAAAAAGACGGCAAAGCTGGCTAATGTAGAATGTGAAAAAGAAAAAGAAAGGAACGGAAGGTGGAAGAGATGGCTGAGAGTCGAGCGTCGGTGATGACAGCACCATGGAAGGAGGAAATATAAATCAAAAACAGGCTCAAGCATGCTGGTTTTTTCCCCCATTGCCAAGTGAAAATTCAATCGCTTGTTTTGGTTCAATCCCAACTCCGCCAGAGGAAAGACAAAAAAAGCCAATACATCAATAGACGCCCAATGCCATAGTTCGTAGACTCCACAGAGACAATATCAAAAAAAGACAATTGAGTAAGGTGAGGGATACGGGAGCCAAACCTCCCCGCCGGCTGGCCCGCAATCCTACTGTGGAAAGTAAACCATGCCCGGGGCGGTTTGCGGGTAATAAAAGGTATCGGGGCTCGGCGTCATCATCCCGTGCATGCCCATGGAGCTCGTCGGGTAAGTCTGCGCCGATGGGTACGGAGGGTAGGTGGTAGGTGGCTGCATCTGGGAAGGGTCGAAGTAGTACACCATGCCGTTGACTTCTTGCGCAACGAGGTTGTTGGACCCGGAAGAAGCTCCCACCTGGCCTGCCTGCTGCTCCATCTGACCCTGCATAGCATAATTGCCGGCCATCGGACTTGGCGCATTGGAAGGGTAGCCGCTTGCTTGTCCATTCATACTGCCTCCGGCGTAGCCCCCCTGGTAATAGTAACCTTGCTGAGTGGTCTGGACGGGTTGAGGGTGGCCTTGGTAGTAGCCCTGTTGGGGATACGCGTTGCCGCTGTACGGCGCAGTATGTACAGGTCGCTCTGGAATATGCGACAGTGGCGTACCAGATACGCGCTGCGAGTATGACGGCCTCCTAGAGTGGCTATCTGGTTGGTAACCACCACCAACTTGCATGGGAACTTGCTGGTGGAAAGCCTGTTGAAAAGGCGGACCGCTCTGCGGCATGCTGGGCGACTCAATATGTGCCACGGAGATGTTCTTCTGGGGCCGAGGCTGATGCATAGGCAGTGTGGCCACCGAGGCGTCCATCGAGCTGCCATCCATCCTGCTTGGCGGTGGCATTTCCTGCATAGGCATGGGCATCGGCGCGGCCACGGGCATATTCATGGGCATATGCATGGGCATGGGTGGTCCAAACTGGGTACCGATATCTGGCATCATGTCCATTCGGCTAGCAGGAGGAAGACGAACGACAGGCCTGTCGCATGGATGCGGTCCGCGAGAAATGACGGATCCAGTTGGCGAAAACATGAATTCTCTGTCGTGAACAATGGATGACCTACGGCTGAGCCCCAGGCTGGGAGAGTACATGCTGCCGATATAGCTGCCACCAAAGTTGCTGGTTCGGCGGGAGAAGCCGCTCCCAGAGCCAAAGCCTGATCTGGGTTTGCCGCGGACACGGTGCTGTTGGTTGGGCCGAAGAGCTCTCGGGATAAACTCGAATGACCGGTCCAAAGCGGGATAGATGTATCGAGGGCCCCTTTGAGGAAGGGAAATGCGGACTGGCTTATCCCTACGAAGCGGCGGCCGATGGTCCGGAAGCTTGGTGTACTGCTTCATCTGAATGCCCGAGTATACTGTTGGCTCCTTCATGTTAGGAAGATAGACGCGGACCTGAACATTTCCGATGTGCTTTTCAGTGGACAGAGTTCGGTTAATGGGTGTGTCGTTCTCCTTGCAGGTGGGGATGAAGCCGTTGCCGTTTGGCGGCCCTTCGTCCATGGACACTTGACGGGATTGCCGGGAGCGGGGTGGCATGGAAATGGCATCATGCATGTCATGAGGCCAAATCGAGTTCGTCGTTGGGTCGGCCGGCGGATACATGGGTCTATAATAAGCAAGATTAGGAAACAGGTTGACAGGACCGAGGTAATGACAAGAAGTGGTGCAACATACCCTATGCGACCATAACCGTTGCTGGCAAAGCCACCGCGACCACCCCGTCCTCTACCACGACCAAGGCCACGAAAGGCATTGTTTGGGTGGCCCGGGATCTGTCTGGAGTCGTGCATGATGAATGCGCCTCTATTGGGAACAAAGGCAGGGTCTTGGTCTCGGCGGCGGATGTAGTCATAATTTTCATTCTGGCGTCGGGCGTTTGCGTCACGACCAGCGGGCCTCATAGCCGAGGCAGAGCTAACAATAACGGGTGCCGATGGAGATCTCGGTGGCGATGGTACAACGTTACTGGCTTGTGCCTGTGTCTGCTGTGACTGTTTCTGGCCTTCGGTGGTTGGGTTCGCGACGGATGCCGCCTGCGCCGCGGCAGGGGCAGGAGGCAGCGTTGCTTTGGACAAGCGCTTGAACTGCGACTTGGCAGAGCCATTCGATGCATGTGGACCGGGGCCAGACGTAGGCGAGGCGTCCTCGATGTTGCTGGTGTCGCTGTCGGCGGCGGCATCATGACCATCGGTGGCCATGGTACCGTCCGTTAGGGAGTCGTCATCGGCATCGAGGCCGTCCGGACGGGCGTCACCATCAACCTCGTCCTCGACGCGACGGCGATGGCCAAGAAAGTTTCCGCGCCGAGGCGCAGGAGCCATGGCTGAAGAGCCTACAGCAGCGAGGAGAGAGCGGACGAACAGTGCGTGAAAGCGGTAGTCGAGGCAAGGGATCGCAGAACGGGCATGCGGTTCGGTGTACGGCGAAGGAGAGCCGATATGTGGGCGAAGGAAGAGAAGAAAAGAAAAGAAAATGAAGGATTGAAGAGCGCAGACGATGAAACTCGAGCGTGGTATACAGTCGGATGATGTGGAAGACGCGCAGCGGCTGGCGAGGGAAGAAGCGTTGCGGGCGGCAAGCGGCTACAGTCGTCAACGTCACGGAGGACGAGGGGCGGTAGCTGGATCGGGGAAGCTAGAAGAAGGACCGCGGCTTTGGAGACGGTCTTTTGAATGGGAAAGAGTGTCCTTGATGAAAGAAGAGGAAGAGAAGAAGAAAGAGGGTATGGCAGAGAAGAAGAAGACGGCGAGGATGGTGGGTATGTAAATAGAGGAGGACAAGAAACGATGGGTTGAATCAGGACGACCAGAAAAAAAGCAGCACCATCTTTGGGTTGCATCACTATCGGTACCTGAGGGGAAACTTGGGAATGCGAGGAGAGCGCACCAGAAGCAAGGTATCTCCATGTACATGGATCAGTGAGTCCCACAGCAGGTGCTGGCGCGAGGGAGCAGCCGCTAAACAGCGCTAAATCGCGGTTTGGCAGCAAAGCTCCAGTGGGCCAAGACTGCTGGGCGATGGCCGTGAAGGAGTGTTTGCCAACACGCCAAGGATTTTTGCTGATTTTAGCTCATATGAGACCTGTCAACAGTATATTTAGCGCTTCTAACAAGTGTCAAACGAGTGCAGAATTGCCACCAGATGGGTCTGAACACACACTCCGTCTGGAGCTACAGGTGATGCTAGTGCCTGGGGTCGTGGACGTCCACACGAAGGTTTGGAGTAACTGCACCAGTTCACCCATATCGGCTTAGCGCCAACGCCGCCTTTCTTTCCCCCTTCCCGCCAGAGGAATGCGGAATGCTAGGTAGGTAGTTAGTTACGGAGTACGGATACATGGCCTGTTATTCTTGATAGGCGAGCGAATTCTGGGTCTTGATCGACTTGTTTCATCTTCATTCCCGATATAAGTTTAGAGTTACTTAATTGTGCCAGCCGAGCTATGCCTCAAGTCGGCCCTGGCACCGCTTCATCGCTGCTGATGCTGATACGCAATACTGCCGCCTCCGTGCTTTTGTGGCAGGCATTTGCCAGTACGGACTACTACCGTATCCATACTCACTACCTTTATTTTTTTTAATAGCAAATTCAGGGCTTGCGAATCAACCAAAAGCAAAAACGCAATTTCCAGTTCTGTCACCAAACACTGAATGTCAGAGGCCACTCCACCTGTCGCCCGCACTCCACGACAGCAGGACGCGGGCACTGGCATGGAAGGGTCTGCCATCTGCCTCCGTAAAGACATTGAGAAGGAATCCAACACCACGTTCTCTCATTACCCCGAAACAAGATGTAAATACCAGGAAAAGAGAAGAACCCCCCACCCCCAAGTTACGTACGCGTGCCGGGTCGAATGGAGAACTCCTGGCAGCAATCGCGCCTCTTCCTTAAAGCAGCACCAATGACACAACTGCCCCCCCATGCCAGAGACTTCATCACTGTCCATCACACTGTGGTAGTATGACTCGACTAGGCACCAATCGACCCAGCCTTTGTACACCCGGACACAACACCCTCCTATAACTGAAGGCAACTGGTGAATTTGCGACACCTGTCCTGTCAGTCATCAGATACCACGCTCGCCAGCCTGAGCAGAATCTTGCTGTTGATCCTCGTCTATAGAGCCCCCTCTACATGACGGTGCCCTGGACGGAGCATACACCGGTCGGGGTAGCGATGGCGCTGGATGTTGTGCGACCAAGCTGACACGGGGGGACAGAACAATCTCTGCTCTGAGCAGACACCACCATGGCCTCGCCCCTACCCTTGGCCTAGCAGCGCCGACGCCAGAAACGAGATCACCGGGTGATGATCCGGCAAGACGCCCTCGAGCGTCCGCCAGCTGCTCCCGAGCGAGTGCGGTGCCTGCTGCAGGAGCAGTCCGAGAACGTTGCCGTTGTTAATCGCCATCGGCCAGTCCCCCTTCGAATAGCCGCCAGGCCGCGTCCCGCGCCAGGTCCACGTCTGCCTGGAACCGGTCCGACAGCAGAAGGCCTATCTTGTGCAGCGCCGCGAGATACTCGTTTTGCAGCGTCGCCCGGGGCGGTGGCTGGTTCGCGGGGCGATTCTTCCAGGTGGCGGCGCAGAATCTGGTGGTCGAACGAGGCACAGTATTAGCTTGACCTTGTGCGTTGTATGGGTGATGATATATCGACCCGGAGCGGGGGATCGACCAACTGGCAAAGTCGAGAACTGTCCGGCAAAAAGGCGAGTCGTCGACGTCTCCTGGCGGATTCGCCCGCAGAGCGTACACCGGGACACCCTGCATTCGCATAATTTTGTATGCCCAGAGGTTGCTGTACGTCTCTCTGGCCTGGCGGAGCAGGTCGCAGTCCAGCCGGCCCGACGACTTGCGGAAATGCACCACGTACAGTGTAGCTGCTGGCGCCTTGGAGCAACGCAAGGCTCAGCGGGCTCTGCGTGATTGCGCGCGCAAAGTCGTCGCACTCGTTTCGGGTCGGTATCAGCCGCTCCCGGAAGAAGAGGCTAATCATGATCCTGTTTGTGCTCGAACTCGACGGCATCTTGGATCGGCCTGTGGAAGACGGTTCGGCCTCCTGACTCGGGGTACGCTCTGAAGTCAATGTGTATCAAACCGGAAAGCTTTTAATATAAGAGGATATGGCATGTCACAAGTAACCAATTACTAGGAGACCTGTTTCGACGGTCGGCGGGTGCGACGTGGTAACCCAGCCACAAGATTCGCACGCCATCGTGCAGCCGAGCCGGCCGCGCAGAGAATAGTGGTGATGTATTTAACGAGATGCGTAACAATCATACGCTGCGGCAGAACTTCACGATTTAGTGCTCACGATGTAGCAGACAAGGTGCTATTTGACCCGGACACTACTCCGAAGAGGCTTCGGCTGAACGATGATAGTTTTCAAAGTATATTTTATAGCCATACACAAATGAAAATGCTTCCAAAAAGCTTTGCTAGAAGATTTCCTATTCAAAACCCCACCATTTACTTTGCTGGAGTTGCGTCGCCAGATAAGCCAACACTGGCAGGCACTTGTCGAGGTTTCGCGATCTCTCCGGTTCGTCCAATCCGCACTAACCCCTGGGAAGAGAAGTAGCGTGTAACTGTTCCATGCCAGCGTTAGCATACTCTTTCTTCGTTACGGTGGCATCGTGAATAGGTCATCACCCCGAGACACATCGCTGGTGTCAGCGTCGGACGAGAGAGCAAACCGCCACGAATGGCAGTTTGCATGGAAGAAGAAAGTAAGACAACGACACGACCCTGGTTTATCTTTTCAAGGAGGAACTGAACACCTGCAGGGCTTGTTTAATTTTCGTGGGTGGCCGCAAGCCTCCCTCGCATTCTGGCGTCCATGTTTGAGTGCCGTACCCAGGCTCCATCAAAAAAACTCTTTGCCAAAAGCATCATCGCAACGACAACCAACGCCTCGCGCCAAATTTACTGCGAAGCAGATAAAAAAGTCTTCATCTTCTCTTCCAGTTCCTAAGCCCGTGCCACCATGGTCCAGAAGCAAGCCAACCCGAGGAAGAAGAAGCCCGCCGCCAGTGCTGCGGCACCACCCCCCAAAGCGCGGCGGCGGCCCAGCACCTCGAAAAGCGACGACGCGGCGCCGCTCAGCCTACCGCGGCAGCAGCGACTCCTCAACCACTTCGTCACGGCCTTTGCCGACGTGCTCGCCGCCGCCGAGCTCCCGCCGCTGCTCCAGACCATCAAGCAGGCGCTCTACCGCCGCGACTTTGCCGCCGCCTTTGGCTGCGAGGCGCACCTCGCCGCCTACGCCGCGCGCTGGAGCCCGCCGCGCGCGCTGTGCTACGCAGGCCTCTTCCAGGCCCATCTCCCGGCGGCGTGCACCACTACCAGGATGGTGTGCGTGGGCGGGGGCGCCGCCGAGCTGGTCGCCTTTGCCAGCTTCTTGGGCGACGACGACGACGACGACGGGGCGCACAGCAGCAGGCGCGGGGAGCTGACGCT